ATCAAAGTGGTGATGGTGGTGGTAGGGGATGTGGAACAGAATTTAATCCTTAAACAGTTCAGACCTACTGGAGCCACTGAGGTGGGAGGAACCCTCAAATCTGTTCCCAAGACCATTTTTGAACTTTGAACTCAAAACTATCCTGTCCTGAGGGCATCTCAAACTAAGTTTAGTTGAATTAGTAAAAGAATGTTTGTTTAAGCACTGCACTTTCAACTAATTAGCTGTATAAGATAAAATTAATAGTAACTCTAAAGCATAGATGAGTAGTTTATTGGATAGTAAGTCTAAGTTAATGGTGGTTAAACAATATGGGAAGAAGAGTGACACTATTGTAACCAGTCACTGAACTGTATGTGTAGAAATTGTTTTATCTGTTGTATGTATTTTCACCAAAAATATTAAAAAAAAATTTCTGAGGGCTGTGATTCAAACTTTTGCGAAAGCTTATAAAGTCAGGAAGCATGGGTCTTTGAAGGAAGCTGTATTTATTTCCTCTTTTATAAGTACTTGAGGAGCTCTGATGGTGCATTTGACTGCTAACCAGAAGGGTGGAGGTTCAAACCTACCAGGTGCCCTGCAGGAAAGGCAATCTTCTGTAAAGATTTACAGCCTCGGAAAACCTATGGGGGTCACTATGACTCAGGATTGACTCGATGGCAGCATTTTTTTGTTTTCAGTTACTTACATCTCATACTATTCCTGAGACCTGGATCTAACAGCCTTTCAAAGTTCCGTGAAGCCATAATAAAATATTCCAAGTAAAACAAAGGCTTTTCTAGTTAAAGAGATCCTTCTAGGACCCTGTATTGGACACCTTATGGGAACCACACTTCTCTTGGTCTCACCTTTTATCCCATCCACTTCTTGAGTGGCCAATTCTGCAAGACTCCCACCAATCACACACCAATCTCTTGCTTCCCTCCCCACACTGACTTCTACTGACTCCATGGGGAAACCCAATTAGCACTCACACAGCTGTCAGATAAACACTTCCCTTGTTCTCTGTCCTCTCTCTCTCCTGCCAAGGTTCTTAGACAGTTCACTCAACTCCCCAGGCAGTCCCAAACAACCACATGGGTGTCCAACTCACTATCTTTATATTAACCCTGGAACCAAAGAATCAAAAGCAGAATCAAGAGACAAAATTTAATGTATGCACACAGTTTCATATATAATGCAGCATCACACCATGTAGGGCATTTACTCTTATTTTATACATTCAGATATTTTTGAAACACTTCTTAAGGCTACAAAACAGAACATAGAAAAATAAACAGGAATATATTGAACACTTACAAAAAGTGATATGATAAAGAATATAAAGTACTATTTTCCTTTCAACACTTCAAAAGATATGTATATATACTTTTATTTTTTTTTTACAAGTAACATCACAAATGATCACATCTTCACATGCTTTTAAGTATTATTTGTACTCAGTGTAAGGCTATTATCATTTTTCATACATAAATTTTTTCTAATTCTTTAACAATACAATTTTTAATCCATTCAAGTAAATTCAACTCCAAAGTTTCTGTTAAGACATGCACCCACCCCTCTTTCTAGGAGCTTCCGTAACTTTTACTTCAGTGGGGAAAGTCTCTTTAAAAAAAAAAAATCCTAATTAGTAGGAGAGTAAATAGCTGACACTGGTAACAAACTCTTAGTTCTCTGAAACAGACATACTGGAACTGAGCCACTATTAAGATTTTGAACAAAAACACAACAGCATTTAGGCATAAAATAGGGAGCAAAATACAGTAAACAGAAATAGTGTAGCCAAATGTGCATTCTCCTCCGCTACACTAGAATGGACCTTGCTTAGTACCCATAAGAGAAAGGCAAAAAGTTTACCTCATCAAAAACTGTAGGTAAAACAAATGAGGCAAAAATAAATATTGCTAGTTGCTAGGATGGCTGAATGTTTTCTAAACCAGAAAACGTTAGAAAGGAACTTTATTGCACCAAGTCAATCTTAAGCAAGTTTGCAGTTCACAGGCATTTTAATTCAACCTTGAGTCACAAAGGAGAACATACTGCAGGAACACAGAGTTTACATCAAATAAGCTGTATCAGCACAGAGGTTTGGGAAAGCCTACTCCTGTCACGTTAAGGAGGCAAGGTCTGAGCTTCAGTCTACAACACGTATGAGCAGATGGGTTACCAGGAAGCAGCACAAGAACTCCACAGATGCCAGTATACTGCTGCCGAGGAGCACACGGGGCAAGCCAAGAGCGGTAAATTTGAGAGGAAATGAACTTGATGAAGAGAAAAATACATAATACAAAAAGGAAAGAGAGCAGGAATCAAGTTCAGCTAAAGCACCTAACTAAAACAGAACAGGTGAGCTTTGGTCAGTCTAAACATCTGTTCTTCAAAATGTGTATGATCACTGTTGAAGTTCCATAATTTCCAATTCAAACTACAAATGATTCTCAAACGCTATACTTTTGCTTCTTTTCTTAATAGAAACTGTATTATGTCAACATACAGAATTATCAATTAAAATGGAGGTGGACAAAAGTTCACTTGTCCTAGTTTGACCTCAGCATAAGGCAAAATCCCCTGGACTAATACATTTAGAAACAAATCAAAAAGAAAAAATAAAAGACCTTCATGCAAACTTATCAAAACTCACAATTCTTTTATTCCAGAGGTCACCAAGTAAAGTACCATCTGCTATAATTCTTTCAGTACTGTTTCCTTCAGGAGCTATAGAGTATTGTTACTCAATTGAGGTAAGACAGTGTGACAGTAAAGAAATGAACAGCATTCTGTCCCATTCAACTGCTACCATTTCTAGAAACTGAGAATAAGTCCCAGTCAATAAGATGAAGGATACTGGAAACAGCAATTCTTTTGGACTCCTGAGATCAAACTTACATTGAACTTTTAAATCTAGCATTTATATCTAAATGTGATTTTCAGTAAGATTATCAAGTAAGCTAATCCTGCTTACGTAAAGCATGGGTGGGAAGTGAAAAACCCTCTAATTTTATTTATTCTTACTCCATAATTCAACCATTGATGTTAACTAAGAAATAAATGACATAAGCAGTACCTTCAACAACAGTTCTAGCTTACAAAATGAACAGTTTCTCAAAAATTTATCTTTCCACACAACCATGCCAGTCTTTACAAATTTTTACCTAGCACCATCATAATAAAATGTTATCTTTCAAAGTGCACTCTAAATTTCTATGTTACAAAACACCTAAATGCTAATCACTATTCAAATCAGCAGTTACACAGACATTAGGTAACTAATACAGCACAGAGGTAAATAACCATTATTACAGTACAGTGAAGATTCACTGAGCTTAGCTGGCATCCAAGCATTCCTACAGGTTATCAGAGAACCCAGAAAACTCATCTGCTTCAGTTAGTCAAATTCAAGTGAATTGTATTTGTTTTTAAAGTTATCTGCTTAAAAAAGAAAGCAAGCCACCACATCTATTTTTGGCTTCGTATATTACACAAGCATGCAAAGAGAAATTACTATTATGTTATTTGCATAGCACTCAAGCTTCCTGATCAAAAGGTAATCTCTCAACATAAGAAAGGGTAGTTTTTCACATTGATATGTACAAATAACAAATACAAGCTACAGTGATTTTCACAAAATAACACAGATGAATGAATACTGTGTTAATTCAGAGTCAAATCTCTAAGGAGAATGGAGTGCAACATGCAAAGGGAACTGCCAGGAATACTGCAAAGATTGGAAAAAGGAAGCAGGATCAGAGAGAAATGTTACTTAAGAGTAACAAGCTATAAAATGCAAAGCAAAACCATTTTCTAGCAGCACCCTCTAGATAAAAACTAGAAGTCACAATCATCATACTTCTGTACAACTGTTCCATCTGTGACAAGTTGAACATGCAAATGTAAAGTGATATACATAACCAATGGTGCAAGGAGAGAAAACACAGTAACTACAGAAACCTGTCAAACTAAAAATTTTTTAACTTTCTTCTCACAAAATATTTAGAATCTGTCAGTGCATTAGTGTTAAAGTGACATTAAAAAACTTCTGCAGCTTTAACAGATGCAGGTTATTTTCAAAATGCATAGCATCTACATTTCTTTCGAGTAGGCACCATGATATTTACACCAGCGCTAAGAATTCTTGGTGGGAACAGCCATATTTCATTGGATTTCCTATTACTTCTTAGGAGGTCTGGTAGCACAGTGCCTAAGGCACTTGACTGCTAACCAGAAGGCTGGCAGTTCAAATCCACCAGCCACTCCTCGGAAGGACAGTTAGGTGATACCACCTCGGAAACCCAAGGAGGGGTCACTATGAGTCAGGGCTGACTCGACAGCACGTAACAAAAACAACATTATTTCTTAAACATATATCTATTCTTGTCTGCAATCCCAAGTTCAACAAATACTCACCAAAATTCAAAAATATACCCTATGAATATTAAAAGAACTATATACAACATTTCTAATACACAGATAATAGGCTGCCTTATGTGTAATATTAAAGAGAAGACATTATTCAAGTTTGACAGATATTGAGATGAAAGGCCTTTGGGCTGGAAGCATTTCAAAAGACAACAGTGTTTTAGGCTGAGAATTGTTTTGAGCCCAGTTTATGACTAAGGCATTGAATAATAAAATATACATTTCTATTTGGTACAATATTATGTTTTGGAATCTATAGTGTCAAATGGTACATTTTCTTGTCGTCACTTTAGTAAACACTATATAAAGCACACATTTCCAACATGTAAAGTCAAACATATCATACAAGGAAAAAAAACAAACACTAAATCTATAATGTTTTATATTAAGCTGTTTATAAAAAATACTTTAACAAACTTATTCTCTACTTTTTGTAAGGGGCAGTCACCTGATAAACAAACAGGTTTTGAATGAATAAAAATGGCAATACCAGGAATTCACCTGCCCCTTTGAATTCATGTCCAAAATCTCCTGTCCAAATTGAGAGTGAGGGTCAAGGGGGAGGGGAGGATATAGTTCTAATTGGGTTTTATTTTAATGTATCTTTAAAAAGCCTTCAGAAATATTCCACCTAAGGGTGTCTGCTCTATAACACTCCAGCAACAAACAAGTATCAAGTGTGTTGTCCCCGATGGCCATCTCCCATCCCTGACCTCCTCCTGTCTCCCCTGTATGGTCGTCCTCTGACATTGCGATGGTACTGATAACCTTCATCCCGGCTTCTGCTTGGCTGCCCTTTCCAGGACTCCTCACCTCTGGCATGTTGATAACCTCCCCTACCAGAGTAGCCCCAATCACTTTTGTACTTTCTGCCTCCAAAAGTCTGATTATAGAACTGCTTGGATCTGCCGCTTCTTAGAATATTAGACACTTCATTTTCGTCTTCTGAACTCTCTTCTTTTGGTCTTTGGACTCTGCTATCCACCAAGTTGGCCCCAGGGCTAACCACATCAGGAGCAGTCTTAGGATCTTTCACTTTTTCTGGTTTTTCTTTTAGACTTGGAATGGTCCTTTTAGGCTCAAGTTCAACAACAGTTCCTCTCTCTCTGTTTAGAATCTGAGTAGGAACATGAGCCTTTCCCTCTGCTACAGGAGGGGTGGAAGCCAAGGCCAAATCTGCCTTAGGTGTCTGGGATGACTGCTCTGCCCCACCTTCACGTCCACCGGTCATACCTGCTTCCAAAAGAGGGAGTGCATCTTCACCCCCAGCCTCCTGAAACTCATCCACTGCTGAAACTGAACCACATTCTTTAGACAGATCCAGATTTTCCAAGGCCAGATCCAATTCTCCTTTCTCATCAGACGGCAGTACAATATTCTGCCGCATTACTGGATTTTCTATGAATCCCTGAAATGGGTATCCATACCAAACATGAGGAAAGAAAGGAGGTGCAATGGGAACGGGGCCTAAGAATGGATTAGGTCCAAAGGATGGTTGTGGAAATATATTCTTGCCACTCAGTGACTCTTCATATTCAGCATGAAGAAGCTGCCCGGGATTCTCAGATTCAAGATCAGGCTGGTAAGACAATTGTCCATGACTTTCAGACACCTGAGACGAAGGTATAACCAGAGGTGAAGAAAATGTTGGTGGTCCGATCTCTGCTGGTGGCATCTGACCATTAACACTGGCCTCAGTCTGCATAGGAAAGTGTGCATCTGCACAGGTACAATCACTTTCATTCTGAGTAGAAGGAGCTTCTTGGAACCATGGACTATGAGGATACACAGGGACAGGGACCTTTGGGTACACCCTGCAGGCTGCCAGGTAGGCCTGGTGCAAAGGGTATAGGTAAGAATGTGGAGCCCACATAGGACAGCTATATGCCTAAAAGAGAGAGATAACAACATGATAAGCAAAGAGGGGAAAAAAAAGACACTCGGCAAGAGTTTCTATATAAACTACTGGACTCGAGTTTCTTATGTCATTAAAGACCATAACTCACATAATTTGCAGTCCAAAAGTTAGATCATGAAAAGGAACTCGGTGAAACAGCTGTACAAAATTAAGTCACTGCTTTAAGACCCTGTTCCTTGCTTCTCTGTTTTGTCCTGAAACTAACCCAAATTTCTGGTACAGAAATTGGTATGAGATAATTCAATGAGTCCATCCACAGATTTTTTGATCATTATTTTCATCCTGTGGAAAATAATTTCAGGTGGTACAGATCTCAGAAACCACCATCAGCTTCTATCTTTGAAGGTGTTCCTCACTGGCTGTTTAGACAGACCTGCATTTACTTTCAGCTTCTACCACTAATTCACTGTGTGATCCCATGCCAGCCAGTGAACTTGTCTGGACCTGTTCTACCAATAAAATGCTGGTATAGAAATATATGCTCTTCAACATCTCCAACATTAAGACTTAATTCCAGGAACTGCCTGAGCACTCACTCTGCTAACAAGAATCAGTTACACTTCTAGACAAAGAAGAGTAATGCTGAAATATACCAAATCCTCCTCCTGCCAAGAAACAGCTAAACACAAAGGATACATTACCAGTTAGTTGGCTAATTAACCAATTAGCTAAAGCCAAGATTAGCTAAATATGAAACTACCCAGTGAATATGGTAGATGGTGAAATTAGTCACGTCTCTTTTTATAAAACCAGTTAGTAGACTAGAGTAGGGCATTTCACTTCATATTTTAACAGTGTGAAAACCACAGAAACTGATCCAGGACAGGAGACAAAAAGACACTGATAAGGGCCCAGTGTTCTCCACCTTCTCATTCCATGGCAAGCTTTTCTTGGGTTGGCCACATCCTAAAAGATATTGCTGTCCTGCTACTGAACAGCCACACCACCTAATGTAAGAATACTATCACATGTTATTTTTTTTTTTATCCTTTCAACAACTGAAGTAAATGGAAGCATATTATCCTCATTCCATAAATAAAATAAGGTAGGCTCAGATCTACTAAATGGCTTGTCCACAGCTAAAGAGTTAAAAAGTGATGAAGCAGAATCTCAAACTTAGATCTTCCATCTAATTCCTCAATGAGGGCATTTCCACTAGGCTGCCCATAACTTGGTCATTTCCAGAATATGCTCACAGGGTTAAATCACTGGTGATTAAGAAGATAAGCAAGCAAAAAGTAGAGCTTCAGCCACCACTATACACTACTGAAAATGATGGTTCTTAAAATGGTATGATTCAGTAAACCTTTAGTTACTGACTGTCAGGGCAGTTAACACTTACTTAAATAGTAATACAAGTAGTCCCCAACTTACAACATATTTGAGTCGTAACATATTGACATATTTGACAAACCACACTTGTGACCATCCTTTTTTCCCTTTTTGGTGGCTTACATAATGTGCATATAATTGAAGCAGGAAGTGCCTATGATACTGATAAAAGGTGGTAATAATGAAAACTAAGAAAAAAAGTATTCAACATTATGTCAGAACTGACTTACAATGGAGTCATCAGAACAGTCTCATATATGTCAGAGACTACCTATAATTTAAAATAGTAATAACTTAATAAAAAATAATCTTGAAACAAACTATAAATACATACCTTCACACCAAGATTGAAGAAGAATCGAAGAATGCTCTTATCTGAAAATAATAATAATCATTCACTAAAATTATACACACAAAGCTCTTTTTCTCATACCCTCAAATAATACAAAAATGTGCAGTGTCTTATAGTGCTAGAGACAATTTCACCTATTGGAATTGTTTTCTCTATCATATAATATAGAACATTCAGATTCAAACTGCAACATAACCAAGAACTGGAGCTCTGGTAGCACAGAGCCTAAGGCATCTGACTGCTAACCAGCAGATTGGTGGTTCAAACTCACCAGCCACTCCGCAGAAGCAAGACTGGGCAATCTACTTTCATAAACATGCACTGCCTCAGAAACCCAGTGTGGGTCGCTATGAGTCGGAATCAACTCGATGGCAGTGGGTTTGGTTTTTTGATTTTATAACCAAGAACTAGGCTCTGTTGTTACTGCTGTTAGTTGCCATCAAGTCAGCTCTGACTCATGGTGACCCCATGCACAACAGAACTAAATGTTGCCTGGTCCTGTGCCATCTTCATGGCTGCCAACAGGCATGGGTCCATTGGTGGCATAGTGCTTAAGGCATCTGACCACTCCCTGGAAGGAAAGGTGGGCAATCTACTTCTGTAGTGATAGCGCCTCAGAAACCCAAGGAGGGGTCACTATAAGTCAGACCTGACACAATGGCAGTGGGTTTCCAATTGGGGGGCTCATCTTCCAGCACTATACTGAACAATATTCTGTAGTGACCCATAGAGTTTTCATTGGCTAATTTCCAGAAGCATAACCAGGGCTTTTTTCCTAGGTTTGAAGCTCTGCTGAAACCTGTCCACCATGGGTGACCCTAGTGGTAGTTGAAATATCAGAGACATCGTTTCCAGCATCACAGCAACATGCAAGCCAGCACAGGACAACCAACTGACAGACAACTGGTGATAGTCTCTGTTACTACATACTAATTCCAGACTCAATGTGCTTTGCCTATGTTAATATCTCAATCCTCAAAAAAGTTCAAATTGAGAATTTCATCTGATTAAAAATAAATCTAGGTGAAGGAAACTCACATTTTTTACTGTATTTCTTTTCCAACTTTTCTGTGCAGTTTTAAAAACAATGAAATAAAACTAGGGGGAAATGGAAAAATCAACATAAAGCTAACTTGTAGTTAACATGATGAAATTAGATCCATTTCATATTAGACAGGTACCTGTAGACTAACTTGCCAAACATCAGACCACAGACTATTAAGACAAAATTACCCACACAAATGCAAATGAGAAGCACCTAAGTAGTCACTCCATTACTCTTTCAGTTTTTCTACAGATAAAAAAATTTTATAAACTAAACTGAAATAGGAGTAAATTCCATTTTTTTTAAATAAAAATTATATTAAGTAACTACTACTGAGTATAGTATTATATTAAAAGTTACTACGGATCATAGTCCGTAATGTTTCATGGAAGAAGTAATGGAAACAGCTCTAAAATCCAGACCAATGAAAAAACACAGTAATGTTTAGGGATCTGGTTAGTAAAATTATGTAAGATCTTAATTCAAAATGGTTTCAGTCCATTTTGGGGAAAAAATGACATGAGGGGAGTGGGTTATTAAACATACAAAAAAATCTTTTCTAACAAGGAACCAACTGAAATAGGAGAGAGTAAATGACTAACAATCAAACCTGTGCTATACTTCCCAAGTAAGTCCTTTTGGCTTACTCAGCACTCAGACCTGACTTCTAATTAAATCTCTCCATTTCTCACTAAAACGGATTCCACATGAAAAATTAAATTCAAACATGAAGAAGGATCTCACCTTTAGGAAGGTCCTCCCCAGTGTGACACAGTGAATAGGGTGGTGCAATGGCTCGATCTCCCTTTTCATTACAAGGAAAACCAGGATAGAGTGGGTCCTGGTAAAGGCTCAATGTCTGAGGCAAAGGCATCAAAGGCTGGTTAACTGCCTGTATTGAAACCGGAACTGGAGAGGGTGTTAACTGAGCTTGTGACACAGCAGAATCAGGTCCAGTGGTCAGAGTCTGTGTCACTGACAAAACAGGAATTGGAGCAGGAACACCTATAAAAGAGAATACAATATTATAAAAAGGTAATAATTCTCTATAGGTATGTTTCCAACAAGCTAAAAATAAAGAACTATGTATAAATCGACATAGCTGTTAAAAATGTACATACTTAAGCAATCTAAAAAGTACTTTTTGTATCAATCAAAGACCCTCCTAGCCACACAGTATGAAACCAATCCAAGAAATAAACTTTGCATCAATATCTTCTAATAATAGCCCTGATAAACATGTGTAAACCATGGGGCCCTGCCAAAGGGTTCAACTGGGGGCATAAGGAACTGACCCATGGGAGAAGTGTCAAACTGTGGTCCCAGTTAATGCTGAACCATAACAATCAGGAGATCATCAGCTCAGACATCACAATCCTGAGATCTGGTGGAACATCTCAAATGAATGCCACGCAAATGAACTTGGCACTCCCACAGGATGCAAAGCAGAGGATCACAGATAGTGTCGTGAGGCTCCACAAACCTACTTTGAGGTTTATCAAATACTCATACAAAAATTTTAAATGTCTAACTTGAAAGGCTTTCATTTGTTGGCTGATTTCTTTTTTTTTTTTTTTTTAATTCTTCTCTAACCTGCTGGTCCAAAAGTTGCAGGTTCACTTGGCCAGGCTGGCACAGTGGCTGGTAAAGAAGGCACTGCAGGAGTTAGATGTACCTCTGGAGAAACTAGAATGGGAGCTGGATTTGACAAAGACACGTGTTCTGCTGGTTTCTACAAGGAGGGGAAAAAAGACAAAAATTCAGTTTTCTTAAACATTAATTTTCACCTGTTGAATGTAACTTTAGTTGCCTGACTTTTACACAATTGTCATTTCTATATACATTGTCCTTCTAGTCTTAAGAAGGAAAAAAAAAATAGGTGGTTTTGTTTTTCAAATGTATATTTTTCAAATCTCTTTAATCATTACATTCCCTGTTTGTTGTTAGGTGCCATCCAGTCGGTTCTGACTCTTCTAGGTACAACAGAATGAAACAGTCTGGTCCTGCGCCATCCTCACAATCATTGCTATGCTTGAGCACTGAACCATGCTTGAGCCCATAGTTTCAGCCACCGTCAATCATCTCAATGAGAGTCTTCCCATTTTTCACAGACCACTGACTTTCCCAAGCATGATAATTCTTCTCTAGGACTAGTCCCCTCTGACATCATGACCAAAGTACAACAGACAAGTCCAGCCACTCTTGCTTCTAAGGAGCACTCTCTTACTTCTAAGACAGATTTGTTGTTGTTCTGGCTGACCATGATATAGCCAATATTCTTCACCAACACTAAAGCCTGAAAGCATTAACTCTTCTTTGGTTTTCCTTATTCATTGTCCAGCTCTCACATGCATATGAGACAACTGAAAATACCATGGCATGGGTCAGGTATACCTCAGTATTCAAAGTAACACCTTTGCTCTTTAACATTTTAAAGGAGACTTTTGCAGCAATTTGCCCAGTGCAATAAGTTGTTTGATTTCTGGACTGTTGCTTGTACAGGTGTTGACTGTGGATCCAAGTAAAATCAAATCCTCAACATCTTCAATCTTCTCTCAGTGTACTATGATGTTACTTATTAATCCATTTGTGAGGACTTTTGTTTTATCTTCATCAGTAAGTGCTTCAAGTCTTCTTCACTTTCAGCATACAAGGCTGTGTCATCTGTATGTAACAGATTGTTAAAGAGTCTTCCTTCAATCCTGCTGCTGTGTTCTTCTTCATACAAGTCCAGCTTCTTGGATTATTTGCACAGCATACAGATTGAATAAGTATGCTGAAAGGATACAACCCTGACACATACCTTTCCTGATTTTAAACCATGCAGTGTCTCCTTGTTCTGTTAAAATAACTGTTTGAACTGCCTCTCGGCCTAAGTACAGGTTCCTCATGAGCAAATTTAAATGTTCTGGAATTCCCATTCTTTATGATATTATCCATAATCTGTTATGATCCACACACTCAAATGCTTTTTCATAGTCAATAAAACAGAGATAAACATCTTTCTGGTATTCTTAGCTTTCAGCCAAGATCCATCTGACATCAGCAATGACATCCTCGTTTCACGTAATCTTATGAATCCACTTTAATTTCTGGAAGTTCCCTGTTGATGTACTGCTGCAATCATTTTTGAGTTATCTTCAGCAAAATGTTACTTGCTTGTTATATAGACATTGTTCAATAATTTCCACATTGCACTGAATCACTTTTCTTTGCATGGTACACACATATGGATCTCTTCTAGTTGGCTGGCCAGGTATCCATCTTCCAAATTTCTTGGCGTAAACTAGTGAGTGCTTCCAGTATTGCAACCATTTGTTGAAATATCTCATGTCCATCCATTTCTAGAGCCTTGATTTTCACCAATGCCTTCAGTGCAGATTGAACTTCTTCCTTCAATACTACCATCAGTTCTTGATCATATGCAACCTCCCAAAATGGCTGAACACTGACCAATTCTTTTTGGTACAGGTACTGTGTATTCTCCTTCTATCTTCTTTTGACACTTCCTGCATCATTCAATATTTTGTCCAAAGAATCCTTCAATATTGCAACTTGAGACCAGAAGTTTTTCTTTAGTTCTTTCAGCTGGAGAAATGCTGAGCATGGACTTCCTTTTTGGTTTTTTATCTCTAGATCTTTGTAGATTTCATTACAATACTCTGTTTCAAAAGCCACCATTTGATATCTGTTTAATCCGTTTACCTCATCATTTCTTCCATTTGAAAAATATGTTTGAGAGCAAGTTTCAGAGTCTCTTCTCACACCCATTTTGGTTTTTTCTTTCTTTCCTGTCTTTTTAACGACCTTTTGTTCTCTTTATGTATGATGTTCTTAATGTCATCCCACAACTGGTCTGGTGGTCTTTGGTCACTGATGTTCAATGTGTCAAATCTATTTTTCAGATGATCTCTAAATTCAGGTGGGATATACTCAAGATTGTATTTTGGCTCTTAAGGACTTGTTTCAGTTTTCTTCAGTTTCAACTTAAACTTGCATAGGATCAACTGATGTTCTGTTCCACAGTTAGCCCCTGGCCTTGTTCTAACTGATGATATTGACCTTTCCCAATGTCTTTTTCCACAGATGTAGTCGACTTGATTCCTGTGTATTCCATCTGGCAAAGTCCACATGTACAGTTGCCCCTTATACTGTTGAAATAAGATTTCTGCAACAAATAAGTTGCTGGTCGTGCAGAATTCTATCATACCAACTCTGGCATTATTTCTATCACCAAAGCCATGTTTTCCAACTACCAATGCTTTTTCTTTTCCAACTTTTGCATTCCAATCACCACTAAGCCAAAGACAAAGAAATTGAAGAGTTTTACCAACTTCTGTAGTCTAAAATTGACCAAACGTGCAACCCGATACACTGGTGACTGGAATGTGAAAATTTAATTACATTCTCTCCTTTCTATGAAATAATTGTTACAGATTCAGACAACTCTAAAAAAGGTTTTGAAATAAAGTAGAAATTTACAGTTTCCCTTTAAAAATCTAATTTTCAAACCAACCCAACACAAAGATAACACAAGATACCAAACATAAAGATATCAAATATAAACATATTCAAAGTCAGTTCAGAAGAATGACTTCTATGCCCAGAAAATACTGATTATAAAATAACATTAAAACAGAACATTCTTGAATAATCCATTATAGAAAAATAAGAACTGTACTCCAATTGTGGTATTAGCATAAATTCTCCTATCTCCCATACAGGTATTTTGTTTTTAAATGATCACAGCCAGAACTAAGAAACCCAAAGAACAGTGCATTCAATGTCAAGTGCAATAGCACACTTACTTGTTCTGCAGGAGATGGGTATTCTAATTTCTTGGACTTTGATGGTGATGAAATTCTTGCACATTTATCACTGTCAATATTCTTCAGGAACAACAACAAAAAAAAAAGGCGTAATTTTGTATCTCAAAGACTCACATTCTAGGATAACTGTGGTTGCCTTTAAAACCCACCCTATCTGCACCAGACTAGGAACTCTGGTGACATAGTGCCTTAAGGCATCTGACTGCTTACCAGAAGGCTGGTGGTTCAAACCCACCACCCACTCCTCGGAAGGAAGGTTGGGTAATCTACTTCCATAATGATACCGCCTCAGAAACCCAAGGAGGGTTTCACAATGAATCGGATGTGAATCAATAATGGCAGTGACTTTGGTTTTTTGGTTTTACACCAGAATAAATCATCTCACAACTGAGCATGTCTTTCAATTTTCTTCAATCTTCAAAAGGTATATAATTTGTCTGTACATTTTTGTCATATGACACTAAGGTAGTTTTCACTGAAGGCATCGTTTCAAAACAGTATGTTGTTGTCTGCCACTGAATCAATTCCTATTCATAGCAACCTAATAGGACAAAGCAGAACTAGGGTTTCACAGACTATAATCTTGATGGGAATAGATCATCACGTCTTTTGTCCCATGGAGCTACTGGCTGAGTTTGAACCACGGACCTACCAGTTAGAAGTGAGTGCTTAACCACTGTGCTACCAAGACTCCTTAAAAATCTCAATCTACAATAGACTAATGAAGAGCAAAAGCTACTTTACAACAATTCAGTTAGGGCATCAATAATGTACCTTGAAGAAATAGTTGTAATTTGTGAGTGACTTCCCTTTAACCTCCAGCATGTCTTCCCAATTCTTTTCTCTGCTTACCTACCTCCCTAAAACATACTTATAAAAGTTGAAAGCATCTCCATCTTCTCCTTCCATTTCTTCCTGCTATACTATCACAGGGTTAAACGGGGCGGGAGGGAGATGCAATTAGTGTTTAAAACTTTTACCTCCAGTGTGGCTGACTCAGGTTTCTTATCCAACTGATTATGTCCATGGGTAGAGTCTGTAACATATCAAGATAAAAAGGTCAGTATCAGCCACCAGTCAGGTTTGAATACAGAAGAATAAAATGATGACAGAGAAAGCTAAAAGTACTATTTGAACCAAGGTTAGTCAGTATAAAATACAGTTTTCAAAATAAACATTTAACATGCTTTTGTTTGAGTCAACCTTTATTTATAGTAGTCAGGTATATATCATTAAATAAACTGCTTAATGATTTAAAAAGAAAGAGTTTTTTCTTCAATGTATGGCTTTAAACCAAACACAGATCTCTATCATGTACCTTCAAATAATGAAATAACCTACCTTTATCTTTTCGTTCTTCAGTATCCATTCTCCGTCTGCTTCCTTTTCTATCACTCACATGTGATGACTTTCTGTGGACACATGGGTTGCTACTCTGAGAAGAAGACTGACTGACTGAAGAGCTCTTTAAAATCAACAAAACCCAACACTTTGTGTTAAAGATTTACCCACAAATATATGAGTACTACATAATTACTCTTCATACTTCTGCCTAAAAATCTTAAAATTCATAGCCCTGCTGCTCTTATACTTCTGATCCTACAAAATGCAGGACCAAGGATACGTATTTAATTTTATACTCTTCTTATTATATTCTTCTAATTATATTCTTATTACTGGTCAGAGTAAATACACAATTTTGTCTAAATTAGTAGTTACAGACTTCTAAAGGACATCATAGCATAGTGGCTAAGACACTTGCCTGCTAACCAGACGGCTGGCGGTTCAAACCCACCAGCCACTCCTCGGAAGGAAGGTTGGGCAATCCTACTTCTGTAGTGATACTGCCTCGGAAACCCAAGGAGGGGTCGCTATGAGTCGGGGCCGACTCGACGGCACATAACAACAACAACATAACAACAAAGGACATCATATTTCAGAATGCCACCCTGACCAAACTTTATCTCTGCAACTTCCAATTACATGTTTTATACAAAGTATAAGATCCTTATACCAATCTTCCAAAGGAGCCATTACAGAATTATATATATAGGCTGTAGTAAGGGCAAAAAGCTTAAGTCCCAATTAGCAGATACAGTACACTGGGAATCATCACTAAAAGGCTACTGACTGTCAACAAATCATTTAAGCTCTGCATGATTTGTGAAGACAGAGAGGCTAGAGTAAGTCAGGTTTGTTAATCCTTTCCTTTCTAGTACTCTACAAAGAAGTATTTCAATTTCAGCCCTCTTTGGTAGGAGAGTTCTAAAAGACAAATCTGAGTCATAATCAAATCTAAGATAAGATCAAACTTCCTAATCTAATAACTATGCGTCAAAGACCCCATTTTAACAATAAAATTTTACAGTATGCCCTGACATCACAGTAGTTGTAGTTTTACATTCACAAACTGAAAAAAACTACAAAATTACGAGTACAGTTTAAATGAGTTACAGGTTTTTATAAATATACATAACTAGTATGTTTTAGGAGCTCTGGTGGTGCAGTGTCTAAGGCATTTGACTGTTAACCAGAAGGATGGAAGTTCAAACCCACCAGCCACTCCTCAGAAGGAAAGTTGGGCAATCTACATCCGTAGTGATACTGCCTCGGAAACCCAAGGAGGGGTCGCTATGAGTTGGATCCAACTTGACAGCAGTGCATTGCGTTTTTGTTCTAGTATGTTATGGGAAAACAGCACCCATATATGGAAGGTAAATGCACTCGGCACACAATGCCTAATTCACATACACATGAGTACTTCTCACAATAATTCCTAAACCCCAACCCATGTCCTAGGCTGAATTACTACTCCAGAACAGCTGTCTTCAACTGAGTTAGTTCCTCCAACCTCTGAGGGATTCTACAGTGTAAAGACAACTGAAAGTGTGGGGCTTGCGGTGTAGTAAATTACTTAGTGTGGCTTTTCTACCCATAAGTCTTCGTCAACTCATTGGTAGAATGAGCAACTGAGGAGCTCCTGATTGTAAATGTTATCCACGTGGAGTATTTCTGTTGGGCGTGGCACAATACAATGTTCTGGGAGGTTCCCACTCCCTCTCAGGTGCTTAGAGTTCTGATGCTGTGATTGGCTAGTTTTGACCACCCTGCTGGGCTCAAAAGGAGGCCTCCTAGAGGCAGAACTCTCTCTGACTGCTGGTGGAGGAAGATGTGCTGCTGAAAGAGACACGCACTGCTGGGAAAGAGATGCAAGAGGCGTGCATTGCTGAGTGAGACACCGAGGGACACGCACTGCTGGGGGAGAGACTGTGAGAGACTTGGCTGAGAGACGGTGGGCTGGGAGAGAGACAGCGTTTTTCCTGAACTCGAATTGTAGCCTGGTGCTTCCCTAATAAACCTCATAATCTGTGAGTTCTGTGTGGCCACTGCAGCAAATTATCAAACCCAGGAAAGAGGTGGTGGTGCTTTGGGAGAACGGTTGGAGAAAGGGCTGGAGGGAGGCAGCATGTCTGGCCTTGCAGTAATAGGCCTTGGGTTACTGCTGGTAATCCTGTCTTCCTCTTGTGGGATTAGAGGAGGTCAGAACATGTGGCCTCCTTGTCGTTTTTGCAGGGCTTTAAACTTTATACATATTGGGTCCTCCTATATCATTCCATTTTGTTTAATACACTGTTCAGAGAAACTGTGAGCCACCATTTGGGGTACTACTCACCAATACTTAAAAAGACCATGTGCATAGGGTTCCCAGACCCACTAGACAAATAGGTGCCCCTCCCCTGTGCTGTCAATGAACCCTCACAGGGTATTTACTTCACTCTACCTGAGAACTGTTTTCCCTTCCTCAAATGATTTAAGAAACTGGAAGACAAAGAATATTCCTTTCATCAAAGAAATATTAATCACACCTAGTGTCTGACACTGAGCAAGGGCAAAATTACAGCAGCATTAGGTGTACTTCCAATCTTATACTCTAGCACTAACATTACTAACCATTCTGAAAGGCAGATCTCATTGCATACATTAGGTCCTACTGGTTAATGAAAAAAAACAAGGTTTCCTCATTTTTATATCTAAAGGATTCTGAGTTGTGAATCTCTACTGTACATTTTTGCTAGCAAAATAAACATGTTGGCTCAAAAGCAACTACTAGACTAGACATGAGTAAACTAATTTACTTGTCTCAACTTTGCTTCCAACTAGCACTATATTTCTAGGCCTCATCTTTCTCATGCAAAATGTGAAAAAGAAATAAAATTACATAATTTTGAGGTATCTTTCAGTTAAAAAAGTATCAGGCTACCATTAGAAATTATGATTTAAAATAAAAAATGTATTAAAAGAAAGTAACAGTCACTTCTAAAATCTCTTTTCATACATACAGAAAGGGCTGGGAAAGCCTGTTCATCTCTGTTCTGAATCTCATAGAGTAAACGTGATTCTTCTATAGCTTGCTTCTCTCTGCGCTCCTCCGGGGAGAGGCCAAAATAGTTAGATTCTCGACTTGTGTGATCAAAATCCTCAGCTCTCTCACGATCAGGTTTTCTGTCAAATAAAACGTATTGAGCATCTAATATAAATCATCTACTTTGCAATACAAATATCTGACTAGCTTAAGCTATATTCCAATACTATAGAACTTTTGGCAACCTGATAAATACATTTTTTGCAAACAGAAGTTCCTATAGCATTAGACTACATTTCAGAGTCAAGAGACAGACTTATAATGAAAAAAAGAAAAGGAAAATATTACCTCAATCTGAAGTAACACAGAAGTAATTGATTCCCCTCACTCCCTGTGGTGTAGTAAGTTACCTGGTATGGCTTTTCTAGCCATAAGTCTTTGTAAACTCAGTGGTGGGATTTGCTGTGAGCAACCGAGGAGCCCCCAATTATAAAAGTTATCCACTTGAGGTATTTCTGTTGGGCGCAACACAAAGCAATGTTCTGGGAGGTTCCTGCTCTCTCTCTCAGGTGCTTAGAATTCTGATGCTATGATTGGTTAGTTTGGCCACTCTACCAGGCTCAAAAGGAGGCCTCCTAGAGGCAGAAGAGGTCTCTGACTGCTGATTAAGGAAGATGTGCTGCTGAAAGAGACACACGCTCCTGAAAGAGACATACATTGCTGAGTGAGACACCGAGGGGCACTCACTGTTGGGAGACTGTGAGAGACTGTTAAGAGACTATGGGCTAGAAGAGAGACTGAGAATTTTTCCTGAACTTGAATTGTAGCCTGGTGCTTCCCTAATAAACCCCTAATCTGTGAGTTGTGTGTGGCCACTGCAGTGAATTATCGAACCCAGGAAAGAGGTGGTGGGTACTTTGGGAGGAACGGTTGGTGAAAGGGCTGGAGGGAGGCAGCATGTCTGGCCTTGCAGGAATAGGCCTTGGGCGATTGATGGTGATTCTGTCTTTCTCTTGTGGGGTTAGAAGAGGTCAGGAGATGTGGCCTCCTTGCCCTTTTAGCAGTTGGTGTCAGAAGTTCTGGGATTTGTTGAAGTGGCCCCAGACTAATACAAGCATGGGACTTTGTAAAAGAAAGAAGGAAGGGGCCTGGGAAGTGAAACTTTGGATTATTAGGTGGTTACTTTGGTTGGTGTTACCTAAAAGGAGGTAACTGATCCAGGGGCTAGGGCTTTTTGGTTACACCCAACCAAAGGCCCAAGGCCATATACACAGACTGATGGTAATCATGGTGAAAAGATAAACCTGGAATGTCTTTAAAAGGATTATGTGTTTTGGATTATGTGTTTATCTGAATGTACTAAGGGTACTACTGCATGTTCTCTTACCTGCCTGTACATTAGAAATGATTATGGGGTATATAGATAATTAGAGTGTGTAAGTAAGTTTGCCTTCAGCTGATACTTGATTGGATACATTAAAAGGGGAAATCGAATTTGCCCAGAAGAAACACAGGCTTTTGTTTTAAGCCCTGTGTGTAGAGACTACTAGGAGCTTAGGTAGAAAACCTGAGCCCCACCCACTACTACTGAGGGAACAGAAGATTTGCATTTGAAGAAAGGACCTGAAGAAAAAAAAAGACTGTTTGGTTTTTTTGAATTTTGAGCAAGCATTTAGGCTTTGGTTGCATCAAGGTAGGAAAGTCATGGTCCATGAGAAAAACCCCTTCCAGGACTGAAAGTTAAAGGAAGCCCGTGAGCAGTAGGCTTGTATGTTGCTCGCTTGTGACCACCTGGGCCCACTTGAGTGAAAATGGGGGAAGTGTAGCAAAGAAGAAACGGGTTGAGTTTGGTACTCTTTGACCTAGGCCACGGAGGAGGCCGGGATGAGAGGAAGGGCTGGATGGTCTGAAGGGCAAGGAGTTGTGAGCCTAAGGCACTGAAATAGTCCCTGAGGACTGAAGATGTCTAAAGTGAAGGGAAGAGTGTGACTCCCAAACTTGGTGGCTGGTACCCATGACCTAGCTGGGATGGCTAAGGTTAAGCTGACCAGACCTCGACCAAATGAAGAGGAAGATGTCTGACACTGAGCTGGTGTTAAATTGCTGCAATCTGATGGCTTGCGCTGGATTGGACTTTGATTGTTTATGGATCCAGATGCCTGAAGTTTCCAAGCCGAATAGAAGATTCTCCAGAGAGAAAGGACCATGCTTGTCTCCTCAGAGTACTGGTTTGCTAGGGATGGGCAAATTAGAAATTGGCTATTTAAAATGGGGGAAGATAAAGGCATGAAGTGGCTGGCTTACACACTTTCATGGGTGTGGTTATTCTTAAACTGATGGTGAAGGGGATGTTAATTTTTGAAGTATAAAAAGGATGGGATAATGTTTAGAAAAGTCAGCGGTGGCCTGCAGTGTAGTAAGTTACCTGGTATGGCTTTCCTAGCCTTAAGTATTTGTAAACTCAGTGGTGGAATTTGCTGTGAGCAACCGAGGAGCCCCTGATTGTAAAAGTTATCCACCTGGGGTACTTCTGTTGGGCAAAACACAAAGCAATGTTCTGGGTGGTTCCTGCTCTCTCTCAGGTACTTAGAATTCTGATGTTATGACTGGTTAGTTTAGCCACTCTGCCAGACTCAAAAGGAGGCCTCCTAGAGGCAGAAGGTCTCTCTCTGACTGCTGGTTGAGGAAGACGTGCTGCTGAAAGAGACACACGCTGCTGGGATAGAGACTCAAGAGACACGCATTGCTGAGTGAGACACCGAGGGGCAACTCACTGTTGGGAGAGAGACCGTGAGAGACTGTTAGGAGAGAGATTTCGGCCTGGGAGAGAGACTGAGTGTTTTTCCTGAATTTGAATTGTAGCCTGGTGCTTTCCTAATAAACCCCGTAATCCGTAAGTTCTGGATGGCCGGCCACTGCAGTGAATTATCAAACCCAGGAGAGAGGTGGTGGGTACTTTGGGAGGAATAGTTGGTGAAAGGGCTGGAGGGAGGCAGCATGTCTGGCCTTGCAGGAATAGGCCTTGGGCTATTGATGGTGATTCTGTCTTCCTCTTATGTGGTTAGAGGAGGTCAGGAGATGTGGCCTACTTGACCTTTTAGCACTCCCCAAGAAGGGCAGAAATTTAAGCATTGTATGTATTCTTTATGCCATATTCCAATACTTTAATTACAATTAATTTTCAAGTGAAAAGAAATGTTATATATGTCTCAAAAGCATTCTGATTTTCTGTTCTAGTTAAAGGGCAAAGTTAAAGGAGACACAAGGACCAGCCTCCTACTTATGACATCGAGGGAGATGGAGAGCTAAACAAAAATTTAAATGAACTAGTCTAGATGAATTATTGCAAAGTTAAGACTACTGCCATCTCTATATAATTTTAGCCAAAGAAGGATTACAAGCAATAAAAGGAATGGATTTTAGCAGCCTATACACAAGAATAATGCTTGTATACGGTTTACACCTACTAAATAAAAGCAGTTATGAATACGATTTCCAACATGTCTAACATTTTCACAATAGTAGGGAATCAAATCAAAATCCTACAGAAAAAATGTTACTTGCTACAATACAAAGATGAATTATCTCCCTAAAGAGTTGGATATGACAACCATTTTAGCTTTTATTTCATCATTTGTTCCATTCACTTTAGCTATTCTCCATTCAAGGCAAGTTTCAGAGTCTCTTCCAACATCCATTTTAATAAAAAGGCTGACCAAAAGATTTCAAAGAGCAGCTTAAGAAAGTAAAGTATAATGAAATGTGCAAACACCTGGAATTAGAAAACCAAAAGCAAAGGAAATGGTCACCATTTCTCAACCTGAAAGAACTGAAGAAAAATTCAAGCTTGCAAATATTGAAAGATTCTATGGGAAGAAAGAGCCCAAAGAGACAAAATATGACCTACCTTGATTATATCCCTCCAGAACTTAGAGACTATCCAAAGATATTATTTGATGCATTGAACACCAATGACAGAAAACCAGAGGAACTGTGGGATAACATCAAGAACAACATGAAAAGAGCAAAAGGTCATTAAAAAGACAGAAAAGGAAGAAAAGACCAAAATAGATGTCAGAAGAGACTCTGAAACTTGCCTTTGAATGGAAAGTAACTAAAGAAAATGGAAGAAATAAGATAAAAGAGCTGAGCAGAAGATTTCAAAGAGCAGCATGAGAAGACAAAGTCAATTATTATGATGAAATGGGCAAAGAACTGGAGTTAGAAAACCAATAGGGAAGAACATACTCGGCATTTCTGAAGCTGAAAGAATTGAAAAAATTCAAGCCTCGAGTGGCAATATTGAAAGACTCTGAGGGCAAAATACTGAATGATGCAGGAAACGTCAAAAGAAGGTGGAAGGAATACACAGAGTCACTGTACCAAAAAAAAAAAATTGGTCGGGGTTCATCCATTTCAGGAGGTGGCACATGATCAAGAATCAATGGTACTGAAGGAAAAAGTCAAAGCTGCAGTGAAAGAACTGGCAAAGAATAAGGCTCTAGGAATTGATGGAATACCCGCTGAGATGTTTCAACAAACAGATGCCTTGCTGGAGGCACTGACTCGGTTATGCCAAGAAATTTGGAAAATAGCTACCTGGCCAACTGACTGGAAAAGATCCATATTTGTACCCATTCCAAAGAAAGGTGATCCCACAGAATGTGGAAATTATCGAACAATATCATTACTATCACACACAAGTAAAATCTTACTGAAGATAATTTAAAAACAGTTGCAGCAATATACTGACAAACAACTTCAAGAACTGCAAGCTGGATTTAGAAGAGGACATGGAATGAGGGATATCACTGCTAATGTCAGATAGATCTCAGCTCAAAGCAAAGAATACCAGAAAGATGTTTATTGTGTTTTATTGCCTACGCAAAACCATTTGATTGTGTGGATCATAACCAATTACGGATAATGTTGAAAAGAATGGAAACTCCAGAACACTTGATTGTGCTCATCAGGAATCTGTACATAGATCAGGAGGCTGTCATTCAAAGAGAACAAGGGAATTATGCATTGTTTAAAATCAGGAATGGAGTGTGTCAGGGTTAGTGATCTTTCACCATACTTACTCAATCTGTATGCTGAACAAATAATCTTAGAAGCTGGACTGTATGAAGAAGAACAT